TTAAAAAAGATGATTTCAGCTAAATACAGCTATGACATTCATGATCAAGAATTACTGATCATAGTTGAGTCATTTCATCAATAAAGATGCTGACTAAAGAGATCAATTCAATTCATTTCTGTTCTGACTGCTTATGACAGTCTTCAAGATTTTAAAATCATGCAAGAGTTGTCAAGATGATAAGTGCAGTGAGCTTAAAAGTTGTCAGCTTTCTGATTTAAGATTGATTATGTGAAAGAATTAAAGAATTCAGCAGATGATTCCTCACAAAGACCAGATTATGCTGAAGCATTAAGATATGAGAATATTTAAGAGCATGAAGCAGCTGAACAGCTCTGTTCCATACTAATCTGTTCTGATCAGCAAGCTGAGAAGAAAGACTCAGAACATGTCTTATCTAACAGAAATGCACACTCTGTAAACAGAAAGACATATTATAAATCAGAGCAGACTTATACAAAGCTGCTTCTAAATGATACTCACAGTATTTAAAGATTTAAGAATAAGTTATAAGATGTCAAGCAGCTCATTTTCAGTAATGCTCTGAATGAAACAGACTCATAAGAGACTGCATTTCTGAATCTAATAACAATATTATCTGAGATGCTTACTAATGATGATCATGCAATAGAGATTAGAAAGTGTCTTCTGTTAGATTCAATTAAGTTTGTGAACTGAACAGAAAAGAAAGACTGTCTCTTTATGAAAAAACATTTCTATATATTCATAAGTGAAGTTCTGCAAATTGAACTGATTAAAAGACATTATGATTTATCTCTGACAGATCACTTCATAAGTGAGAGAACTTATGAACTGCTAGCAAACAGATTCTATTAATCAAGAATGAAGAAGTTTATGAAAGAATGTGTTGATGTCTGTCATGTTTACTTCAAATTTAGACAGATTCAGATGAAATCACAAGAAGAGATGTCTTCTTTGCCAATTTCTGAAAAATCTTAAAAATACATTGTGATGAATGTGATTATGAATCTTCTGTTAAGTCAGAATTTTGAGAGAGTGAAATTCAACTGTATTCTGATTATTGTGAATCAATTTACAAAGATGTCTCACTTTGTTTCAGTCAGAAAGAAGCTGACATTTGAACAACTTACTGAATTAATTATGCATGAGCTAATAAGATTGCATGGACTTCTCTCAAGCATAGTCTCTGACTGTGAGTCAATATTCATAAATAAGTTCTGAGAAGATCTGTTATATCTTCTCAAAGTTAATAGAAGAATGAGCACAGCATTTTATTTTTAAACAGATGATCAGACTAAAAAACTGAACAGTACTCTTAAACAGTACTTACAAAACTTCATCAATTATGAATAAGATGACTAAATTGAAAAATTATTCCATGCAGAGTTTGCTTACAATAACTCTAGACAATTCTCAACAGAGAAGAGTTTCTTTGAGCTTTTGATAATAAGTCATTCACAGATGAATTTTCTGAGAGCAGAAATATCAGTGTCAGTCACAACTGAGTCTTATAAACTGATAGATTAGTTGAAAGAGTTGCATAAGACAGCTTAAGAGAGTCTTACAAAGATGCAAGTCTATTAAAAGAGCTACTATGACAAGAAACATACTGTGATATCATTTTACAAAGATGATTAGATGTGATTAGATCTTTGTAACATTAGAACAGCACATTCTAGCAAGAAGTTAAATGTTCTTCAGCACAGATTATGCTGAATTGTGGAAAAATTGAAGCTTCAAATCTATTAATTGAAACTATTATCAGAACTGAGAGTACATAATGTGTTTCATGTGTCTCTTCTAATCAAACATAAGAAACAGAAGAAAGTGAATAGTCAATCACATCACTCAATTTGTGAGACATTCTCTATGAAGTAAGAGTATTAGATACAGAAAATTGTTGACTTCTGTAAGAATGACTGAGTGATTGAATATCTTGTGTGATGGCAGAGATATGAGAAAAGAACCTGAAAGTTTTCAAAAAATGTGAGACATCTAGATAAGAAGCTGTTTAAGTTTCATAGAAAATATTCAGATAAGTCTGATCTATATCATATTCTGAGAATGTGCACTTAGAGAGGTTTTGTTAGATTCATAAAGACACTTACAAAGCAGTTAGAAAATAATTCATGAAGCAGAAGAGCAGTGATTTAAGTAATAAATTAATTTAGAAGAAAACTCAGTCTGTAAAAGCATTTACAACTATTAAGAAGTGGTTTATGAAGCAGAAGTAGTGAATTTACTCTAAAATAAAAGAAAGAACTAGACTATTAATGACTGAAGTCTGCAAAAGAAAGAGAAAACTAGACTATTAGTGATCAAAGCTTACAGTAATAAAAGATAGAAAACAAGAGAACAATTCTAAGAATTAAAAAAATAAGTTTTATGAGTCTGATAGACACAGTTATTACATCTGTTTCTATTAAGAGAACTTGTGACATACTGTCTCAATGAGAGATTTAAGTTACTTCAGCATGCTGTACATAACTGCTGAGAATAATTATTTGTCATAATTATCAGAACTTCTTTCTGAAGCTGAGCTTTATCTCTCAGCTGAACAGAGTCTGTTGAATCAGTAAGAGTTGTAGATCAAAAAAAGAGAAAAGCAAGAAGTCATCTCTCACAATTAAATAAATTCTGATCTAAAATTAAGAATGAAAGATGACTCATAGTAACTGATGTTCTGACTAATAAGTTAACAGTCAGAGCAGAGACTGCAAGAGCAGAAGTAGAAGCAGAAGCAGATATAGTAGATAGAAAAAAATTTAATGAGATCAACTTCTAGAGAAAGAAAAGTATTAACTGAAACTCTCAATATCACTTCATAAATGAGTTTATGAAGCAGAAACTGTCTTATAAGTTATGTTATAAAGCAACTTAACATATCTTGAGTGCATTGAAAACAGAATCAATGCTTGAGAATGAATACAGTATAGAAAAGAGCACAGACTGAGAATGAGAATGTGATAAAAATAAATCAGACTGAGAAAAACAGAGCAGTGCATTACTAATAAGAATTTTAGATCTGAGAGATGAATGATTATTCTCTCTCAAGATCTAATTAATCAAGACAACAGAACTAGTAGTTGAAAAAGAATTATTATTAAATACAGTAGACATCATTGAGTGTTTCTGTCAAGCTCAGATATTAGCACTCTGAATAAGTTATCAGTCATGCACACAGAAAGAGAATTATGAAGTGAGAAAACACTTCATAAACAACATTTTCAACTTTGTAAAAGTGATTATGATGCACTAAGAGAAGAAGAAACAGAGAGAAATCACTTACACCATCATAATTGAAATCAGACTGACTGAGTTATGATGTCTGAGAAAAAATTTCAAAGTCTTCACAGACATAACTCTCTGTTGCATAAATGAAGACTGACAGTAATAATATTTCTTCACTTTAATTTTCTGAAGAAATAATAGTGATTGAGAACTCTGCTTCAGATAAAGCAAAAGATTCTGAAGATATCTCTCTTATTGTCTCTGAAGAAAATTTTAAATGACAACTGATTGAAATTTTATTTTTAAACTTACTGAGTCATTATTGCTCACATTTTGACATCTTAATTTTGAACAGAAAAAAGACATGGCAAAATTATCTCTCTATATAATGTGTTAGCACTAAGAAAAGCTGTTTATGAAGTCTCTCAAGATTTATAATCATCAAGAAGAGAATGCTTGTCTGAAACTCTTATTAAAATAAAGAAGAATGTTGTTGAAAAGAAAAAAAAAAAAAGAGAGAGAGAGAAGATCAAGAAAGAGATATTTATATTCAAAAAATTATTAAATATTATTATGAATTATGAAGAATGACAGTCACTACAGCAACTACATTATGATTACAGAAAAACTGTCACTCTTGCTATAATCTTACTGTTACATCTATATCTAGAAACTGAGATTAAATTAAGACTCTGTGTTGTGATCTTCTTACATTCATTACATCAAAAAGAGATTTTATATAAAGTTGTTACAATCACAGTGAAGCTGTCACTCTTACTGTGATCTTGATCACATCAATATCTTAAGAATCAAGATTTATAAAGAGAGAGAAATCTGTAAAACTTCACATTACAGTTTTTTTATATTTATTTCATTATCTAAAAGAGATTCATAAAATCTTCTTAATACTTAAATGATTATGCTTCATATCATCTGAGATTCATAAACTCTGTGACTGATTACATAATCTCACTAGTAAAGCTAAACACACAAAATCTGTCATAGATACTTCTTTATGAAGATCAGTGGCAACATATCTAGAGACTCTAGATACTGTTGTAGCAATATAAGTTATCTCTCTCTCTCTCATGCTTAGATTTATTTGTAACCATCTCTCACCCAACCTAATCTCATTTATGAAGGCTGTAAGCCATTGTCATGTTATCTGCAACCATCTGATCCTCACATAGCTATACAAAAGCTTGTTCAAAGCTCCTACTTTATGTACAAAGAATATGAAGCATGTGAAGTAGAGATCAAGCTCTTCATACAAAATCATTTCTAAAGCTTGGACAGAAATCAAAAGGGGGCCCCTTTTCAGCCTGATTACACTAGTGTACAGTAATTATGTTGTATGTATTTGGAAATATTACAGCCGCTAAGCCCCTGAGGACCAAAACTTTTGGCGGCGACCTCCGTAGTCATGACTTATCTGGCTAGTAGCAATAGTAGAAAATTGCGTACAGAGTTGTCTCCTAGCTAGTATGATAATAGAAAAGCGTGTATGGAGTGGTGGAGTACACAGTAGTTACTAGAGAAGAGAGTTAACTAGTTTGTTATTAGTTAAGCTTTGTAGGTAACTACTAGGTAGTTAACTACTCTGTATGTTGATCTTACCCAGTAACTAACACCTCATCACCGCTGCCTAGAGAGACAGCATGTCACCACAGGTCGCCACTGACATATACCTCTCCCATCCATCCAAGTGGCCCTTGTGCACCTGTATCTCATGAACATTTCGTGCCCGATCTCGTTCTTAGTTTTCGGCCTACAGCTTCGCATCAATCATGGCCAGCGAAGCAACAAGCGCTGAAGCCCGCGAGCTCTCCCTAGTTTCCAAAGTTGAATTTCGAATTGCTCTCGCGGACTCGGATGAACAGCTCCAGTTACTGCTACGGACATACCTTGCACCGTTGCTTTTGAAACTAGGATCTGAACATATTTCTGTGCGTAACAAGGTCATTGCGCTCTGCCGACATATCTGCACTCGGATTCAACCTCTCACCTTCGACCTCCCGCTCTTAGCACTACTAAAGCAGTTCAAAGAAACTCAGTCACCCCTCGTCAGGCATTTCGATCTAATCTATATCAAGCTGGCTCTGGAGCATGTCAGCCCAGCCCAGAGAGCAGAACATTTTCCCCATTTAGTCCTCGGCGTTTCTAGATTCGGACCCAATACTGATGATGCAGCCAGCATCTTCAATCTCATTCTGAGGTCTTTAGTAGCTCTAAAGTCACCTTACGGGGGCGAGCAGGAAGGGGTGTCTTTTCGCGACCAGCTGGGAATTTCTAACGAGGATGCTCTCTATTTGTCGAAATGGATCAGTAAACTCCTCATGCTCATCCCTGTTGGCAGTCCAAGGACGTCTTGTCCTGGTCTTTCAAAGGCGGAATTTAATTTCCTAGTTAACGGAAGTGAGTTTCATGAAGTCTGGAACTCCATATCGCCGGCGGGCCTGAGTCTTAATGACACCAAGATCGCTGCAATTAAATTTCTCGCTAGTGGCGCATTTACTGATCGGGAGCGATATATTCCTGCTGTTATTGCAAGTGCCAGCTCAAACGAAAGTATATCTACCCTTGGTATGGATCTACTCAAACGAACGACATCATTTTTAGAGGATAGTGATATCGTGAGCGAGTTATTCGATATATTTTCCGGCGTTGACACGGAACTGCCAGCGTCTCCAGCCATCCGGACGAAGGTACTGAGTCTCCTTAGCAAATCGGTCAAGGCCACCGCCGACATAAACCGTATGAACTTCTGTCTTGACAGTCATGATATTTTTGAGACAAACTTGTTTGTCAAGGGCTTAGAGGGTAATAAACTTCGAAATCAATTACTTCAGTTTTGTATGTGGTTTGCCCGGATGAGCCCATCCGTTTCTACGGTTGCACCGCGGATGGTAGATAAGATTCAAGAATTCATCCAGACGTGTGGCTGGCCTTCTCAGGTGGAGCGAAGCAATGCTTCTAGACAGACGTCTAGAAATCTCGCTTACGACACCATTGGTGTTCTCGCTTCAAAACTTGACCATTCTTCAGAGGAAGGCGGGAAGCGCCTGGAGATGCTGATTAGGTGGTTTTTTGTGGCCTTTAGCTCGGACGTATCCAATGGCGAAGTGTTCACCAGCATCGACCAAGCTTTCGGCAGCCTTACAAACTCTGTTGCCCGAAAGCCAAACATATATACACTCGATAGACTCCGCGAATGTTTGATGCATTACATGAACCTAATACCAGATGAAATAGACCCAAAGTCATCGTTCAAAGTTAGCCGCAGCCCGAAGTCAGCAGTCTTGCGTTTCGTGAACACATGCCTACCTTTTAGAGATGTTGATGCACGATGGATAAATATCATGGCTTTGGCGGCAAATCCTACCCAGGATCTTGGAATTATAGAAGAAGGACGAAAAGGCCTTGATCCATACTTGTACCGGATATTGAATCCGCCAGGAACCCTTGACTCATCGGCTCCCGCACCGTTTAATGCAGACTTCTTCTATCGACTTCCAAACTTTTCTGATTTAGTGGAATCGGTACTCTTGAGAAATGGGGATGGAGCAGGAGTACCACGCGTTTTAATATACTCCACGCTCTATTCCAACGCTTACGCTCCGGCAATGGCCTTCCTTCGAAATGTTTTGCTCTGCGAGGCATTATCAGAATCGGGGGTGCCATTTAATGTAGAAAATCCTAACTGGGAAGAACGTCTTGATGTGATCATTTCAACATGTGAAGTGGCACGCGAGGCTGTGAGGTCATTTTTAAAGATATGCCCTCCTCTCACTATTCAGCTGATGCTGTCCGGTTTCCTTAAGGGCGCCTCATCCTCCTCAGATACACCGCTCGGGCGTACTGCAGAGTACTTTGTGGAGATCAGCTCCCTTTTATCGACAGATACCTTGAATTCATTTAGAGAAAGCTATATGTTTTCCGCGTATTCTGTTGAGAGTATTCGTCCAAGTGCTCATGCCGCCATCGCGCGCAGCATTGGGATTACAGCGTCTCTTGATACCAATTTCGAAACCCAAGAAAGACTCTGCAGCCAAGCTTTAGACAGACTTTCAGACGGGCTTACACAACGAGTAAAACATGCGGAGACTGTTCGCGGTGATTTTCTTACCCTCATGTATGTTTTCACTCGGTTATCCTTTCGTGGACATCACGAAGCACTACCCATTACCCAAGTGAAAAACTTCTATATCCTTCTTTTGGACATACTTCAACAATCTAAGGACGTAGACCTTCGAGAAGCAGTAATAGTGTCTGTGGGGGAGTTGAGCCTTGCTTCGCTCTTATCAGCCGACCTTTTACCAGAGAATGGTTTCCGGGAGATGCTAGGGACAGTGTTAGACGACGCTAAGAAGGGGAAAGAGTCTGCCATTATCGCATTAGGCCGGCTCTCTCTTGCATTTAGAGAAGAGAAAGAGCTGTTTGATCGTTTACTAAGCTCATTGTATAGTTTTCACGAGCTTCGAGGCATCGAGATTCAGCTTTCGATTGGCGAAGCTCTCAGTGTTGTCGCTGTTGGCTGGGCTTCGAAATCATTGCTTACAATATTTGATGTGGATTCTGAGCGCCCCCAATCACATATTCCTTCACACGTTCTATCCGATATGCTTGTCAATATTTTGAGAGACTGCAAATCGCCCAAGCCATCGCTTAAACGTGCTTCGGTGGTTTGGCTTCTGAGCCTCGTCCAATACTGCGGTCACTGTCAACAAGTGCAAGATCAACTTCGACAATGTCAGGCAGCTTTTGTTTGGCTGTTAGCCGATCGCGATGAGATTGTGCAGGAGACTGCCTCTCGCGGGTTAAGCCTTGTGTTTGAGAAAGGCGGTCGAGAGCTTAAAGACGACTTAGTTCGTGACTTGATCCAATCCTTTACGGCAGAGAGTTCAAACCTTGGTGGTGGCAGGGTATCTATCGATACACAGTTATTTGAACCCGGAGCACTACCCACTGGGGACGGCTCTATCACGACTTACAAGGACATTGTTGGGTTAGCTACAGAAGTTGGAGATCCCAGCCTCGTGTATCGGTTCATGTCTCTTGCCTCAAACAACAGTGTTTGGTCTAGTCGTGCAGCTTTTGGTCGATTTGGGCTAGGCGATATCTTAGGCGACTCGGGAATAGATGGATATCTTAGCAAAAATCCTAAATTCTTTCCAAAATTATATCGTTACAGGTTCGACCCGAACCCAAATGTGCAAAAGTCGATGAACGACATTTGGAATACGCTGGTGAAAGATTCCAATGCAGTCATCAATTCACATTTTGATGCAATCATGGAAGATCTGCTGAAAAGCATTCTCGCCGGAAAAGAGTGGAGGGTTAGACAAGCCAGCTGTGCAGCTATTGCGGATTTGATCCAGGGAAGGCCTGTTCAACAATATGAAAAATTTCTCAGCGATATTCTCACCAATGCTTTCAAGGTGCTAGACGATATCAAAGCGAGTGTTCGGGAAGCAGCATTTAATTTATGTCAAACACTTAGCAACACCCTTATCCGGTCGTTTGACGAGGGGATAGCTCGTTCAGAGAAAACGCAGCTGATGCTGCAGCGCTTTATACCATTTCTTTTACATTACGGTATGGAGTCAAACGTTCCGGAGATACAAATATATTCCATAACGACGATGACTACACTAGTCCGCAAGAGCCCAACAAATGCCTTGGGGCCATACATTCCAGATATACTAGAAAAATTCCTTTTGTCCTTAAGCTCTGTGGAACCGGAAATGATGAACTACATATACTTGAATGCAGATAAATATGGAGTTTCGGGTCAGGATATCGATAAAGCTAGGTTAAATGCGGTAAATAATTCCCCTATTATGCAATCCATCGAGCTATACCTGCTTGATATGCTTGACAGTGCTAGTATGAAAGAGGTTGTGTTGAAACTAGAAAATGTCCTCCGGTCAGCAATTGGGTTACCAACCAAGGCAGCCTGGTGCCGGGCATTAGTTAGACTAAGCTCAAAGCCAATTTTGTTTCAGCCCTATGCCGACCGATTTATCCAGCTGACCAAGACGCATATCCTGGGTCGGAACCACACCTTAAATGTCGCGTTTAGCACTGCAATTGGGCACATGATGCGTTGTGCAAGCGACGAGCAAATGCTAAAAATCATGGAGTATGCTCAGAAAATATACTTTGACTCTGAAAGTACACTGGAGCGAGTTGCGGCTGGCGAGTTGTCCTGTTCTCTCTCGAAACATGCTAATGACCGGGTGAACCGTGTTTTGGTGTGCTTCGTGCCGTTCGTATTCGTGGGTAAGCATGATACAGACGAGGAGGTGCGAAAAGCATTTCAGAATGCGTTAGAGAATACTATCAACGAGCCCCAGGCAGCGTCGCAGCATTTACAAGAAGTCCTCGATCTGGCACATAGCGGACTGGATTCTCCACGCTGGGCCATTAAGCATGCCTCTGCCCTTGCTATTGCAAAAGTCGTGAAAGTCTTGAGTGCGCGGCTAAGTACGGCGGCGACAATGCGTGCCGTGTGGCCCGGCCTCGAGCGCGCCCTTGGTGGGAAGACATGGGCGGGAAAAGAGCATGTTATACAAGCCATGGGCGAGTTTGCGACTCGCGCAAGGCTGCCCTTGGTAGAGGCAAGAGATATCAAGAGTCAGATGATAGTTCGTTGCCTACCTGCTAATGCGACCTAGAAGCCGATACTGACGGTAACTGCAGGGTATCGCCATTCGAGAAGCAAAGAGAAACAACGAGGCATATCGCCCGCACGCGCTTAAATGCCTGGGGATATTGGGAAAGGAGTTTGGGGGCACAGAACTAGCGGGCGAGGCCATCACTATCATTCGGCAAATGCTAAAAGCACATGACACGGCCGATCCCCCCCTTGCAAGCAAAGGCTCCATGTAAGAGATTGGACATTCTAGTTGATGAACCCGAGGGGTACTTACAGTTGGATTGTAGGAGCCAGGGCGACGCTTTCGCGGCTGGCATTGAATGCATGTTGAAATGCCTGGACCCCTGCGCGCCTGCGGCAGGTAAGGACGGACTAGATGAGTGTATGGTTCCAGTGCTGACAATACACCGTAGCCTTGAGTGAGCAGACCAACGAGTGCATCGGCCTCATTGAGGCAGCGGTTGGCCCTGGTGGGAGGCGCGCGCGCCTCGCATTATACGACGGCCTTCAAGGCTTTTTCGACCGGGCGGACGGCCAGTCAGTTGCCGCCTTGGCGAACCGGCTCCTGTTCCGCGACGCGGATGGGCTAGTGGAGGCGGCGAGGATCAAACGGGCACAGGCCGCGGGCTCGTTGACGGCAGCCTGTGCGAGCGGCCGCGTGGGCGTCGAGGCCGGGTGGAGGGACGCCGTGCATCGCTGGGGCGCGGAGGAGCGGTCGCAGGCGGTGAAGGAGCTGTTGGTGGCGGCAGCGGACAAGCTGGCGGGCCTGGAGGATGGGAGGAACTAACTACCACTACTCCGTACGGAGTACTAACCAACAGGCACGTCGGCCGCGGGGAGCTGGCAACTGGCTCGGCTGGATCGCGTCTCCTGCGCGCCCTCGCCGGCTCTCTCTCGCTCTCACGCGATGTCATCGTGTTTCGTTAAGCGCCGGGCGCGCCCAATCAAGCACGCGCGCGAGCTGCCGTGCCCCGCCGCCACGACGACGACGACGACGACGACCACCACCACCACCACCACCGACATAAAACCGCCTGCCCGCCCTCGACGCCCAGCGGCTGCCCCGGCCTGCCACCATGACCTCCAGCGGCAAGCCAGTGGACGAGATGTTCCTCGCCTCGCCGCCTTCGACTGTCTCCCCGCTGCGCATCGTCAAACGAGAGTCGCCGTCCCCGTCGCGCGCCGCCCAGCCGCCTGCGTCCGCCTCGCCTCTGCCATACCCTGACGACCGCCCGCAGGCAAAGGACCAGGGCCCTGCTGCCACCCCACGGCCGCCGTATCCCGACAGTGACCCGCCTCCCGCTGCATCGAAGCAGCCGGCACGCAGCGGTTCGCCTGCGTCCCTGCACCCTGCCTCTTCTGAGATCCCCGATGCGCTGCGCCCGAGGCGCGAATCCAAACAAGCCCAGCCCACCCTGGCCGAGAGGAGAGGAGCGGTCCCAAAGTCGCTCCCGGACTCGCCTGTGCCTGAGGGTTCCGACCGAGACGGTCTGTTCCAGCGCCCGCCGCAGCGCGAAACGCCTGCCCAGAGCGTCGTCCCTGGCTCGGGTCGAAAGACCTCGACCAGTGCAGACCCGTTTCCTAGCTTTCAACAGCAATACTGGCCCCCACCCAGCAACTCCAATCTGCCACAGCCCGTAAATCCGGCATCGACGATCAATCGGCTAAGTTCCACGGCGTCCACATCCACGACCAAGGCCCAACGTGGATCTCCACCGCCCCCAGAAACTCCTATCATTCCTCCAGGTCAGTCCGCCGCTTCCGACATTGAAGCCAGATACGCGGCATCCGGCATCGCTGGAACGGCTACACTAAACAACTTCAATGCCCATAATTTTGCTGCACAGCAGCGGGCAAACCAATACGCGGCACAACAGCCAAACAGATATCCCACCCCCACACACTCTCAGCCCCTCGCACAACCGCATCAACAACAGCCGCGACCATGGACGCCAACCGAGCAGCCAGGAACTCAGCCACATGGCCCCCCGCAGGTATATCAAGGCGCAACTCCGGTCAGTACTCCAGGCCCAACCCAAACACCTGGCCGAGTAAATACTCAGCAGCAACCCCAAAGGCAGCCGCAGCAGCCATTACTGGGCAATCCCACTCAATATTCAAATTCAACTACAAATAATCTCGAAGACGACCTTCAGCGCCTGAATATGACAGCATCTCCCCCTCCAGCATACTCCAGCTTGGCCGGTGTCACTCCTCAAAGCTACGCTACCGATAAGCGCAGTGCAAGCCAAGCCATACAGCAACCGTCAGTGGGAGCTGTGATAGCTAGCAGTGTTGGAGGAGCTGCTACTCAGTCATTAGCTCAAAGCCATCCTGCGTTCGCAAATGATTCAAGGCAGCAGCAACAACAGCAACAATCACAGCAACAGCAGGTAGCCGGAACAATGCAGCAGCCTAGCCAGAGCGGAACTGCGTCACACCCACCCCCGACGCCTACCCCGGCATCACCTCCGCCCTTACCTGAGGGCTGGATAGCACACTTGGATCCAAATTCCGGACAGTACTATTACATTCACTTGCCCACACAATCCACGCAGTGGGAGTTTCCAAAGGGCCCAACACCATTGAATTTAAACGATACGCCCCTCTCTCCCGCACAAAGTAATTTTGGTGCACATGGCTTGTCCTCACCTGGCCTATCTACCTTTGGGAAGCCCTTGGTTTCACCGGGAATATCTGCTTTTGGTAATCCCATGCCTTCCCCAGGAATGCCGATGAGCCCAGGATACGAACCAAGCGTGATGAGCTTTAATAGTGGATATAATGGCCCCCCGCCGACTAGTGGTATCGAGCTGTACAAGGTCTCTCCTACCAATGGCGTATATTTTGGTCCATATTTACGATATAAGAATATGGACATGGAACATGGGCTGTGGCTAGGTTCGATTCTCCTTGTAACCGATGCTCCTCAGCCGCCCACGATACATATCCATAAGAGCGTGGATCTTTCCCCGAACCCTCGCCAACTATCCGCTGTCAGCATTGCAGCACACCGACGCTGGACATTCTATAGGTATGATATTGATTTGCCAATGGATGACTCCCCGGGCGCAAAATGGACCTACGCTATTACCTCCCATCTCGGTTGCACCCGCTACGAGTTTCTTGTGGCTGGGCAGCATGAAACAAACTGGCGCTTCATTGCTACTTCGGGTAATGATTTTTCGATGAATGTCAATGCCAATGAGCGAGCAAAGGTTGGGGGCGTCGGATACATGTGGAAAGATATCATGCAGAAACATGTGGAATGTGGTGGCTTCCATGCTCATTTGGGGCTTGGCGGCCAAGTAAATGCGGATCGTCTCTGGAAAGAGCTGCCGTCTCTCAAACAATGGCTTGCTATCAGTGGGAAAGATGCTAGAAAAGCCACAGCCTGGACAGCCGCGCTGGAAGAAGATATCACTCATGCTTATTTTCATTACTATACAAGCCATTTTGACCAGCCACACTTACGAGAGGCATTTGCACAAATCCCCCATATACTACAGGTGGATGATCATGATATGTATGTTTTCAGCTCCCAGCTCAACTGAAACATAGCCGAACACTGACTTCTTTAGATTTCATGGCTTTGGTTCATACCCGGATTATATGCAATTCTCGAATATGTTCAAGAATATTGGCCGGATTGGCATCGAAATGTATTTGTTATTCCAGCATCATACAACTCTTGAGGTGCTGCGTCATGTCAAGGACGATACTGACCTATTTACCATTACTGGGACTGGATGGCATTTTGTCAAGTTTTTAGGCCCAGCAATCGCTGTTGTTGGAATAGACTGCCGATCAGAACGAAACCCACATCAAGTAATGGCTGGCCCTACTTATCAAGGAGTCTTCCCGAAAGTCGCCATGCTTCCTCCCTCTGTACAGCATTGTCTCTGGATGATTCCTGTGCCTCTTGTATATCCACGCCTGGAAACTGCCGAACATCTAGTGCAAACAGTTGCTACTGGAAAAAAGGCAGTCACTGGGGCATATAACATGCTTGGCAAAGTGACGAGCTCCGTTGCCGGTGTCGTCGGTGCTAAAGGCGCTGTCGGCTCTGGGTTTAATTCTGTCAAGAAAGCAGTAGGGAAGACGGGTTTAATGGGGGGCGTTCTGAACCCATTCGGAGATATTGACCTTCTAGATGAATTAAGAGACCAGTGGACTCATGAATCAAAGGTATGTCTGTTATACGTACGTGAAGGAACTTTTTGTCGCTTACAACGAATACAGGATCTAGAAAGAACCTATCTCATTCGTACTCTACAAGGAATCGCTCACCAGCGGAACATCCGTATGACATTCCTTTCGGGCTCCGTTAATTGCTGCGGAGCTGGCCTTGTTCACGACCCTTCGCATCCTACTGATCATAAGACCATGTATCAAATCATCTCATCCTCTGTTGTGAATGCTCCACCCCCTTCCTATATTCTCAGACTCCTACACAGCAACAACAAACCACTCTACATACCAGCAAATGGCCAAAGATCAACACCTCCTCAGCCCAGTGACACAAAGGAGGACATGATTGAAATTTTCCAAAATGATGTTGCTGGTCAACATCGTGAACATCGGAAATTAATGGGTCGGCGGAACTATGTGGCCATTGTTGGATATGACCCCGATTCAGTAAATGCGGCGTATACCGGTATATCTTCGCCACAACACCCTCAGAATGGGAACACGCCTGGTGCGTTCCCGAAACTTAGCCTTGCAGTTGACTTCCTAGTTCAAGGAGAGGGTGCTTTTGGGAATGTTGTTAAATATGGCCCTGTCATTGTACCTAGCTTGGAGCTTGGGAGGTAAATGGGATACATACTAATGAGGAATGATTGCAATGAGAGATGAAGTCGTTCCATTCTAGTAACTAGACTCTCTATTTTTTCTTTTTTAAAACCATTGACTAGCTATGCTCTTTATGTGTTAGCAATTAAATATGTAATTCAATTCTAAAACCTGGCATGTGAACCAGTAGTTCGAATATTCATCAAATATAGGTATAATTAATGTATAGTAAAATCAAACTACAGCTCATTGTCAGAAGAATGGCACTTCTAGCGTTGGGGATATAGTGAACTGCATCTCAACCTTCCAATTCTCGAAAAAAATCCGAAAAGTCTGGCGGCGCTTCCGACCACATAGTTATATTACATGTACATATATGTACACATACATATCCCTGCACGCATTTTTCCGGGCTACGCTAAGGTTCATTTCCATTTCCACTTCCACCACGGTTTCGAATCATCCCATCCAGGAATCCAATCTTCGGGTTTTGGTAGGCACACGCCTAGTCTCCAAAAGTAGTCCCGGTGGGCAAAAAACAACTCCCAAAGTTTGTACTGAACTGGTATCATCATGGAAAATTGCTTTGGAACTTCTAACTGGTTATTTACCCCTTCCTCACGAAGGCGGAAGTCAAAGTCCGAAAGGGTCTGCCTAAAATATTCAATGCTGGACATCAATTCCTGCCTATCGCTTTGAGCGCTGCAGTTCGGGTCTGAATCACCACTGCAATGACGGAGATCTTCTAATGCTGGTGGTAGATCTGGTTTCGAAATAAACACTTCTCCGGCATGCGGAGCATAGCCCCATTCCGACGGCGGAAGAAGAGGTACAGGGTCATTTATATGGGTGACACGGCGAAAAGATGACCGCATTCCTTTAGGATCCGGGGGCGGCTCGTCGGCGGATAAAGTAAACTCTTCGTCCAAATACTCGGCTAGCTTGCGATTCCCTATCCTTGGCTCCCCAAATGTCGTAATTTGCGGTGTCCAGCCCCGGGTGTGGAACTCCAAACCCGCGAGCGCGGCGACAGCTCCACCAAGGGAGTGTCCGACCACAGTGAGCTCATAATCTGGAAACCTTGCGAGTATATCCGTCAAAGGTTTCAATATAAATGTGCGCGTATGTTTCCAGGAAGTCATAAAGCCAGCGTGCACGGTACAGTTCACACATGGTCTACCGTTATTATTTGGAGGAGATAGCCCCGGATAAGGTACGTAGGTCTGTGGAATGGCAGATAGATCAACGATGGTGTTTGCAATCGAGTATGTGCCTCGAAAAGCCACGATAACCCGCTTTGGCCATGGGGGATGGGAAAGGGCGAGGTAACCGCATGAATCGGAGAGAAAGGGACCCGTATTCCAGGTCTAGCTCAGCCCATCCTCTTCAGTTAATTAACTGTTCTTCAATCGTGAGTGTATGAGTAGAAGTGATTCCTGCTTACCTTTACTAACTCAAAACCTTTGAATTCTTTACAGCGGCCTGCACACTGAAATGGGGGGTATATTCCTATTGTACCAACACAGTAGGTGATATCAACTATTCGAGCAAGCTCATCAAGAGAGTTAAATAGCTCCTGGGAGAGGGGTCTATCGCTGACGTATGTTTCTACGATTGTAGAAAATAGCAACACTACCGCTGTCGCCAAACAGAAGATCGTACGGATTAAGTCTGTTGAGGATAAAGGGATCATGCACATTGGAAATTGTATCATTAAATTGGTAATAAAAACTTCATACTTATTTGATCGGCTACTTTTGATGAGGTCTACTTGTTACGGAGTACTTGATCATTTTTAAGATGTGAAGAAGCTTAATTGATTAATCAGCAATTAGTTAGTTAATTAGTTAACTAACCAGTCAACTCATTAGTTGCCAAGATCTGGGGTACTCGTCCACTGGAAACGGTAGTGGGTATAGCTCTTATATTTCCCAGATAATAACTCTTCCATCAACACCACTTGCTATTAAAAAGCGTAAGTACACAGATAATAAGAGAAGAAGTACCACATACTACTAAATTTTCTCACCCGCCCCCCTTCTCCTTCGTATATACGGAGAGTGGTGATGGTATTTTGGTGCAAAGTATGCAACCTAGAATCGTCTTTTGTACTGCCTTTAAGATCCATTTGGCGAAACTTATTCAGCGCAGACTCTTCACGAATAGCACCAACACTTGGGCTAGTTTTCGTTTCAAGGGACCCAGCCAGCTGCCAGCCGTTCTCGTTGCCATTAAGACGATATATTTCGCAATCCTAGGCTGCATTAGAAAGGGTTTATAGTAACACACATGAGTTACTCACGTGGCCCGCTGCTATGATTTCGCTTTCTCCATTCCAGATCAAGGACATAAACGGCAATAGTCGGGTGCTAACATTTAGCATTGCCCTTGGGGGCTGATCCGGTGCACTGGGATAAACAACTGTGACGCTGCTATCGTGACATGTAAATGCAAGAGCATTTCCACTGGGTGAAAAGGCACAGTCATGCACCCACCCAGCAGAGTCATTTAAAAATTCTCCACACACTGTGTTGAACGGAAGTCGTTCCCCCCATGCTGTGGGTTGAGGGCGCTCGTCGATCCCTTTGATGAAACTCGAGAATACTCGAGCGTGAGAATCCGTTGACCCAGCTGCGAGAATGACGGAATTGGGATGCCAGGCCAACGTAGTGATAGTGCTTCGAATAGGCTTCTTGAGGTGTTTCGAAATCCACCAATCGTTCTCTTCCTCGAAATAACAAATGGCAATAACCCGAGCCCCAGACCCAACGGCAAATTTCTGCTCTGAGGGAGACCATCGGACAAATGTGGCCGCTCTATTAATCCGAAGCAATACAAGTGTAGGCTTCCAGCCAGATGCTGTGAGATCCCACACATAGGCATTTCTGTCTATTTTCTCGTTATTAAATCAGTAGGGAAACCCATGAGGCGGCTTATTGCGCCTGAATAGTACCTTGAGAACAAGTTACGATTTTCCCACTACGCGAGGAGATGTCCACGCTTGTTATGGTCTTGTCATGCCCTTTCAATTCATCGGTCAAAGCAAACTTGCTGCCGGACTTCTGATAAAGCTCCACCACGTTCTCTTTGGCAACAGCGAGTGTCTGTTTGTCTGCTGAAAATGAATGATCAGCGATGGGCCGGTGAAAAAGATGATGCACTTCGGGAAGGGCCATTTCGATTGGCAAAGCGGTAGGAGGAGCTCTCTACTATCGCAATAATGTGAACTAGAGAATGCCTTGGATAAACAGTGTGAAAGATGCAGGGAAGTGTGCGGAAGAGTGCTGCGTTCCAGAAGGCAACCAGAATACCGATTTTCCGAGCCGTTACGTAATACCAACAAAGGCGTCGTACTCCGTACGGAGTAGTTTCATAGTAACAATTTTTGACTTACTACTTTACTGCTAGTTTTTAATATAGCCTCAGAAGGCCATGTAAATACCTCGGCTGACTCTCACGTATCCATATATGCCAAATATGTCTGGTGCTATCACTGGAGATGATACAGGAGCACGTGATGATCATGTGACTGAGAGTCTATACCATAGCAGAATCGGATCTCTGCACTACCATTGGGTTACTGATTTTCCAAGCTGTTATGTAACCATTACCACCATCTTGTAGTTTCAATGTTGACTACAGTAACTACTATGTATTTTAACTACTATATAATAAAAGCTTACTATGTTGAATCTACTATATAGTAAATTAGTAATGTCAATCTTTATATGATAATAACAATATTTTTGAATCTAATAAGAAAATGATCAGTAGATGAAAAATTTTCATTTATCTTTTTTAAATCTCTAAGGCACTCACTAACTCTCTTCTACAGTAGAAGCCTATGTGATTTTCTACTATTCTACTAGCTAGGCTAGTTAGTAGTAGGTGATTTCTACTATCCTAGAAGAGGAGGTGGTGAACCTTATGGTTCTCCAGTTTCTCCTTCCATACTGGAATTTCAGATCTGTGGAATACTGTAATGTTATGGTAGTGGCAACATAACCACTACATAGTAACCCAGCACAACATTGAAACAACAATTGTGTAATATTATCATTGTTGGTTGCCACAACTTGAGTCAGTATTCACAACATTGTCTTGCATAGAGTTAATTGGAGGTAACGCAGGTTATAACACACACTAATTTACCCCCGTATAACCACTAGTTAGCTAGTCAGCTAGTTAACTTAGTTAACTAACTAGTTAGTTAAATAACTAGGTAACCTTTAGTTAATTGTTGTAGTAACAGGTACCTCTCTGTATGGAGAACATCTGAATAGCTTCGACTAGTTATCTAACTAGCAGCTGGGTCTTCTACTCCAGATATGTATGTACCTAGTACATAGTTATACTCCACCTTCAACTAGAGAACCGCCCATGAAACCAAAAATACAGAGTAACAGGTATTCGCTTGAACGCTACAAAACGGACTTAAGGGAATAAAGGGTCAACACTACTGTTGAACCAACGCCACCCTCGCCTGGAAAACCATCCACCCTCGGTTTTTAAATTGTATATAAACATCATAAATGGATAGCCTGGTATAATCAACTTTCGTGTTTCATAGATGTAAGTGCCAAAGATTTAAAAGTTTGTGGGCCTTTCTCTAGGCCGGCTTCGATCATATATATCGCCGTTTGTTTGGTAGCCATTTGTTTCGACTCGACTGGATCCTACTCCGCTGTTTACGACTGGCCCACAGTACCGGTTACCCATCTCTCCCGTTGATTCAGCCGTGAGTGGCTGTTCATAAGAAATATTTTGTTGAGCTTGTTGACCGCCAGGGTAGGTAACCGAAGCCATTTCTGGGGGGCGTTGACCCTGTGGTACATGCCAACTTGTGCGAATAGACGGAAGAATGTCAATTATGAAGGATAAGATATAGAACGTGAAGATGAACGCAATGACTGTCGTGCATGTAAGCCAGACGTAAAAATAAAGCGAGCCAGTTGGTACCAACCCCATTCAATGACAGCGGCCTGGTTCTTTCGACCTTTTCCCCGGCCAGTTACACCAAAGGCAATGGCGAGGGTCAATTCAATTATGATGAAGATAAGCTTTACCCAAAAGCTGATAGTAAGAATACGGTGTTCTCGGTAATGAATCCCAAGTCGCAGGTATTCGAGACAAACAAAAATCGCGCTCAATAGATATCCGCCACTAGAACGTGGGATTAGTTTATCTGGCTTTGCGGTCGGTATTTGGAGTGGTCTCTCACATAAACAATACAAGAAACCCGTTGTGCTGGTGTTTAAACCGCAGGGTGTCAAATATTGATAAAAGTATAAGGCCAAGGGCTCCAAGAACTGCGAATATAATAGCGAGAATGGAAAATCCTTTGTCTAGCATTCCTTTGTTCGGCACCAGCCGGCGACGGTGCCTCAGCCAGCGTTCTGACACGAACCCAAGGCAGAAGAATACTCCAGTAATTGTACACCCGGTTATAAATAATGGTTTGAGACCTTGTGCGGCGACATCAGAGATATACCTGCGGACACAAGTTAGGCACTGGATAATACCAAATATGTATTCTGGGAGGCGCACGCAATTGTTTGTCCCCGTTCCATGGAAGAATATCGGGGATAACCATCCGCCGACCATACAATCAGAAGCGTTAAGATAGTAGCTTCATGGTTGTTAACGACAAGTATTTGTGAAGGGATTTCCAAGTTCTGCTCACTCACCAAGCCACATCCCCGATGCTATCACTGGGAACAACCAGTAAGACAGCAGCCACATCGTTGCAAGAAATCCGGCAAAAATCAACGAGAAAATTAAACACTCTAAATTCGAATTATGGAGTACAGGGTAGGAAATAAAAGGAAGCCAACATAGGATGAGCGGAACCCGGAGCTATCAATGAAATGGGCTAACTAACTATCTAAAACAAGAGTTGTGACCACGCGATCTACGCCGAGCTGTGCTGTCTCGCAGTCCCGGATCGACGTCATCAGCCGAACCGGCCACGCGTTCTTAGTCAGACTATCAGTTTGTTGTGCAGGCTGTGCAGGTTGACCTTGTTCGTGTTTACTTTTAGTAGTGCTGCGTATTCTGTAGCCTACTTTCTATTAATTATTCATGTCTCAAGGCTCGCTTTTGCTGTTGGTGGCGTCTTCGGCTTCATCAGCCGGTAGTGGCACTAAGGCCAGCTGGGGCCGTCAGCCCTATGTCTCAAAACACTCCAAATTTACAAAATGATGCCGTTTAGAGTAGTTCTCATAGAGAATTCTCCTGGACTATTGAGAAAGTGAAGGCTGTTGTTTTGGATGATGAGTATATTAAGCAAAGTAAATCTTTAGAAAATAAACAGCGCGTCTCAGAGACAGTGTGCATAAAAAAGGCGTGGAAAACAAACTCAGTTCACAATCCATTAATATACCACACGAACTCCCACAGATACACAGCCCAAACATAAGAAAGAAGTTAAACTAGGGCCACAATGAGGATAAAGAAGCTAGAGCCATAGCCTACCCAGAATCGGGATTTATTTGCGGGTACGCACGCGAACCATCCTCCCTCTAACCGTACCGGTTGTTTTTCGAGCCTTACTCTTTGCTGGCTCTTTGGCCTCTTTCAGCGGGTCAACTTTCACACCATTGTCGCTACTACTGGTTGTATTATTAGTGCTCCCGCTGACTGTGCGTTGCTGGGTTGGTTTGCCAGTAGTGGCAGCTGGCTGCGGCGAGTTGTCATGATTCGATACAGTACGGTTCGCATAGGATTCTCCGGATGCAGGTCGATAGACAGGTTGAAATATGGTTTCGGGTGGTGTGGAAAGATTATAGCCGGGGCTTGCAGGCATGGGATACCGTGGATCGAATGGCAATACTTGTGTAGGGAGGTATTGGTAGGTGGGGGATACGAAGGGAGCGGCGTTGGATGAAGACCTTGAACGCTGCACACGCTGTGGCTCCTCTGATAGAAGCGGAGGCTGGAGTCTTCCCGATGATGCCGGGCGACTAGATGGGTCATCCGGGAATGCGTATGCGCCAGGTACTCGCGGTGAGCCATTCTGTTGAGATAAGCGCAGTGAAGGTAATGTTGGCGTTATAGGGCGAGGCTGTGTTGTCGACGACGCTGACACGTAGTATCCCGAGGGAGTTTCAACCGCAGAAGTGTATCCCGATTCGGGTGCCCAAAGTGTGTTGAGTCTAGAGGTTGGCACGGTTGACGGATGGATGTTCTTCACCTTGACCCGGCTAGTTTTGGTGCGCCGCAAGCTCGAAGTTGCTGCCTCACTGTGCATTCGTCGTCTTTCCAATGCCTCTAGTTCACGTGAAGAGAGCCTAACTTTGCGTTTTCCCAATACCTGTGCACGTCGGATTCGATCTAATGCCCTCTCTACAAGCTCTTCTTCTCGATCTCGCATTGCAAGCTCCATGGCATAGGCAAGAGTGCTGTCCTGAGAAGTATCGTCCAGCACATAATCGTTATGTTCGTCGTCAGAACTTTCATCGTCACTCTCGCTGGACTCTCCGTTCGCTACATCCATTAGCTCGTTCGAACGGAGCCGCCGGTTGCGAATCGCTCTTGGATGTAAGGGCACTCCCTCTATATCACTGTCCTCACTTTCAATTTCGTCCACCCGCACTTCATCCCACCGACCCCTGCTACTCCTGAAGCTCCTCCCCATTCGTGCCCCTGGTGGTCTTCCCCATTGGGGCATATCGTATGGAGATCGCGGCCGACCACCTAGACCGCCTCCTCGGAAAAAGCATTCTCGATTGGTTTATCCATAAACGCAGCATGCCCCAAAACAGTAACTCCAGTAGCACCAATAAGCCACAAAGCAGCACCAATGGGAGATGCCCAAATACCCAGTGGGACTGTGACAATCAGAAGGCCGGTGTAAAGTTGCGAGGTGCTTGCTCTGAAAAAACCAACATCCAGATCCCGACCTTCAAGCTTGCCGATTCCGTAGGTTCCGCCGATGATTAGGATTATGACAAACAGAAGCAGTAAATTCGAGAGCAAGCTGTAGATTCCTAGCATAATGAAAATGACAATGTAGTTGCTAGAGAAGTAGCTTAGGTTGTAGTTCAAACGGCTCTGCATTTCCCCGAAATTGGCTGGTTTCGATAACCTCTTGACATCAAAGAATTCGGAAATCGGTCTAAGGTTGGCAAACCGCGAAGAGACGGATTGCGAACGAACACTGCTGAAGCGATCGCCGAAATTGAAACGAGATGTCAAGGCATCGAGAGGGATCTGAAGGGCGGCCATGTTGATGGGGGTTCAAAATGAAAGCTGTCGGGTCAAGCAAGCTGGGTTAATTAAATGTCTTCTATTGTAAAATGCGCAAAACAAGACTTGGTTAAGCTGTGCAGAGACACAGCAGACGACCGACGAAGTTAAAAACAAGGAACTGACTCTTTATTAATATGCAGATGCCTGGTAGAAGAGCAAGCTGATGAAGAGAAGACGGCCAGAGCGTGGAAGAGCAAGCCAGGCTGCGAGATTCCTGTTCTTGACTTTTTTGCGGCCACAATTCGTTTTCCCCGTACTAGGCTGCACTTGGGTTAGCGCGCTCGTCCCTGGACGACCGGGATGGTTATGTAAGGCAGCGTGAGCGGGTACTGGGCGGGCGGGAACACTCTGGGGCAATTCGAGCAATTGTTAGCGGGGAAGGGAGAGGCAGGGAGGCGCTTGGCTTAGAGCCGGGCTGCAGTGAAGGTATCCTGAGGCAGAATTACTACCTCAAGACGCCTCCATTGCGAGAAGCGGCCTGGCAAACGGAGCCATCTGAGGACAGAAAAAAACAGGAGGGAGGCCAGGAAAGATATGTAGAGGGGCTGGGGAGGCCGACGAGGCTGGCAGCTTAGTCAACCTTCCATGGTGCCAGCTGGCGCCGGCTGCTGCGATTGGTCCACGTCGGGCCAAAGGTACCCCGTAATACGCTTGCAAAACCGGACGCTGTCATGTAACTAAGCGGTAATGTGGCCTTTCGTCTGGCTGGCTGTCTGTTTGTCAAGAAAATCACCAATTACAGTCTCCCTTCGACCTTCTCCTTCTCCACGGGCCTTGTCTGCCGGCCCCGGCCCAAAATGAGGCAGTCCGCCCTGCTCCGCGTCTTACTCCTGCTTGTTGGCTTCGTTGCTGTTGTTGCTGCGTGGACAAAAGAAGGCATGTGCTGCTCATCTTGCCCGTGGCCCGACTACTGACATTCTCGTCCCTGCATAGACCATGAAATATTCCGGCTGCGCGAGGAGATTATGCTTGCGGAGGGTGTCAATGTCACCTTCTACGGTATGACTGGGTTTCCCTTTAGCCCCTTCCACACATCCATCATCATAGACTGATCGTCATCAGATTTTTTGGGTGTGAAGCCCAGCGTTAGTCAGTCGGATCTGTCGAAGGCGTTCCGTAAAAGATCGAAGCAACTCCATCCAGATAAGGCCAAACGTGCCTTCCTTGCATCTCGTGCCAAGCCTACTCGAAAACCATCCGGTAAGGCAAAGCCCGGCGTGCACGTTGGAAAACGGCCTTCGGAGCGAGAAATCCAACAGGTAGCAAAGCAGGCCACCGAGCGCTTTGCACGGCTCGGTATAATTCACGATATTCTTAAAGGCCCGGAGCGAGAGCGATACGACTACTTCTTGAATAACGGTTTCCCCAAGTGGAAGGGAACCGGATACTACTATTCTCGATTCCGCCCTGGACTGGGCAGTGTTCTGGCTGGTCTTTTTCTCGCATTTGGCGGTGCTGCTCATTATCTGGCACTTGTTCTCAGCTGGAAAAGACAGGTTGAGTTCGTGGATAGATATGTCCGACATGCTCGCCGGGCTGCCTGGGGCGACGAGCTAGGCATTCAAGGCCTAGGTAGCTTGCGAAATTATGACGATAAGGCGTCTACTACAGAGCCCATAACTGACGAGGCTGCGGAGGAGCCGATTGTTATGAATCGACGACAGAAGAGGATGATGGAGAAAGAAAGTCGTAAAGAGAATAAGAAAGCTAAGAAGGAAGGATCTCCGGGTACTGCTACACCAACCAACGTCGTCACATCGGTTGGGGACAGAAAGAGGGTTGTCGCTGAGAACGGAAAAGTTCTAATCGTCGATGCCGCTGGCAACGTCTTTCTCGAAGAGGAGACGGAGGAGGGAGAGAAGGCAGAGTTTCTTCTCGATGTGAATGAAATCAGAAAGCCGACGATTAGAGATACCATGGTCTATAGACTCCCTGTATGGTGCTATGACAAAACCGTTGGACGTTTCATCAAGGGCTCAGGCCCAGACGCACAACCAGCTATTGAAGGCGACATTGCTGTCGAGGAGTCTATCGATGCCATACCGGTACCGGAGGTAGCTTCTGGAAAGGCAGCACGAAAAAGAGGGAAGAAAACGTGAATTGTAGACTATTTTTATATGTACCAATTGGTATATTGTAGATTATCATGGACGGAGTACTATGAAATGCAAAAGTTCTGAATCTACGATCATTTCCTGCTTTACAGTTTCATTTTCTGAGATAGGCGAGTCTATAGCTCCATATTATATAGCTACAGGTAGATTGGGTGTAGCACCTACATTAACCAGGCAGAACATATGCTTGTTAGAAGTGTATCTTAGACTGCTGTATGGCCAGGCTTTTGGCAAGGACAATTACTGCAACACTTAAAAACATTTAATTACATCCAAATCTTTGGCTCTATAACAGTGTTGTCAATTGCATCAACGCTTATTCAAAAAGTGGCCGAAGAAGGCTCATTGATAAAGGAAACCAATGGGTGTGGTCCATCTCTTCATTGAAGCTCATAATTTCTTTCCAATGCGATAGACAAAAAACATGGTATGTTTAACACCGCTCCCATTCTGATGCCACATTAACCTGGGTATCTCGCCATGAATAGGCCCAAAATTGCCGTGCATATTCCGCCCCGAGCCTGATAAGCCCGCCATGATCGATATCAAAATAAAAAATAAAAAAGTCAAGAAGGAAAATGATCACAAAAACATCTTTGCAAGAGACACCAGCCCATTCAAGCTCTCGCCGATTCCATTTCCACTGCTTCCAGTCTCGTACCCATTCCCACTTCTCGATGCTCCCCAAGCGCTGGCACCACCAGCACCTCCCATCAGCGATTTCGGCACCCTCACCCCGACTGCGCCCAAGAGCTTCTGTAATACGCCCCCAGTGATCAATGGCATCACCACCATCAAAAATACTTTTGTTGGATGCCTTTTTGCGTAATGCACAATCTGCCGGAATAACCGCTTGATCTTATGTACCATGCGCGCCACGAATCCCGACCGTGGACGGGCCCGACGCGATGATGATCCGCCGCCGGAGGAAAAGATGGAAGATGCATCGGAGCGGTTGGCAAAGCTGCCCAAACTGAAGAGGGAAGGGGTGGTGGAGTAGTGATGGCGAGAGGAATGGCGATCCCGAGAACGATTCCGGCGCGAGGAACTGCCAGAGAAGGGGTAAAGCCAACTCATTGTAAGAGAGTTATCAACGGAGAATCTGCGATCCTTTGGAGGGAATGAATTTTGATTTGAATCGCTTTGCTGGCCGCGATCACAATCTCAACAGTCCCGGCGCATAAATCAGCAAGCTTTTTCCTCACCACACATCTTAGAAGCTCAATTGCAGTTTGTAGCGGTTAATTATCCCAGCCTGATCTCCATGCGGAGTCAACACTTCCCTTGCGCAAGAGGTGGCTGGGAGGCTGAACCAAGGAGACGCGTGTGGGTCTTCCCGTGTCAGCTCCGCGCTCTATTGGCCGATGGGGCTAGTTAACCATCTTATGTAAATAATCACGTGAATGAATAGACGCGGAGGCTGACATAAGGAGATTTTAGCGCCATTTCCCAGTTGCAACAACGTCATCGCGTTGAACGCCAACTTATCCTGTAATTCGTACTCACCAAATATCACTTACATATATGTGCCTAATAAAGATAGACTAGATTTGGTATAATTTACCGTCACAAAATGACAGGTGGGCTTTTCCTCTAGTTTTGTTGGGAGACATCTACTGACTAGCATTTATTTTAGACTCCAGTATGGATTATTGTACGGCTGAAGATAAACTGGCAAGCCAGATATTATTTAGATACCTCCGCTAATTGGAGACTAGATAAAATCCTGGAGGTTGATCCCTCTGGCACGCAGCACCAAATTCGTAATGCCTACAAACGGTTCGCGACCTTCTTGAGGATCGCGAATGATGACTGACGGGTACTGCGACTGATAGCGCTGCTCTCAAATACCACCCTGACCGCGTGCCAGCCACGTCGCCCGACCGGCCAGCTCGCACGAAGAAATTCCAACAAATTAACGATGCCTACTATGTTCTCTCGGATCCACAGCGGCGCCGCGAGTACGACGACGCACGCCGCAGCTCTCACTCTGCCGAGTCCTCGTGGACCAGCGCGCACCCACCACCGGAGTCGGAGTCGTTTGCTTCGGACCAGTTTGGAACTATGTTCGAAGAGATGCTGCGCGAGGAACGGATGGCGGCGGGCGACGAGACGGGGGCGGGCGGAGGAGGAGGAGGGGGATATTTCTGGTCTGTGGTGGGCGGGCTGAGCGGAGCGGCGATTGGATTCATCGTTGCGAATTTCCCCGGAGCGGTGGCGGGCGGAGTGGCGGGCAACCGGCTGGGGGCGGTGCGGGACAAGAAGGGGAAGAGCGTGTATGAAGTGTTCCAGGAGCTGCCGCAGGAGGACAAGGCGCGCGTGCTGGGGCGGCTGGCGGCGCGTGTTCTGCAGTCTGCTGTGTCGTAGTGTTTGCGCTGTTTACTTTGCTTACGTACTCCGTACTGTTAGGTACGTCGCTAGTACGGTATGTCAGCCGTATCGGCGTGGATACTCCGTATTCCGCGGCCGCCGGGAAATCTCGGGGCGGCGGGCCACTTCGGGGCCGGATCTGATCGACGGGCATGCAGACAGGAATAACGGGCGGGAAGCTGTCGTGCAGCGTGCAAGCGAGGGAATAATAAATAATAATAAATGACAATAACGACGCAGCGATTGCTACGGAGTACTCCGTACGGAGCAGCCCCAAGACACGCGTGCAGCGACGACAGCATGCCGTATTCTGGCCGTCGAAGCCCGCCGCAGACACAAACATAATACCAGGCCCGTTTCGTCGTCCGAGATCGAGTCTGGTGATGCGAGAACAAGACTCCGTGCATACAAATGCAACGCAGCGCAGCGTGCGGCCCTTGCCGTGCAGATCGGGGCGCCCGTGCGGGCATGCAGTACGGAGTACGGAGTAACTACATAACTCACTGCTCCGTCCACCCTCGTCTTGGCAGGCCGGCCCCTGGATGCGAAGAGTCATCGCCCGGTCGCAGTCGAGATGATTAGTCGTCGCTCCCCTGACACCGCAGAGGCCCACGCACCAGTCAGTGGTGGTGGTGGCGTCCGAAAGCAATCTTACACGAGCGATGGAGGCTGACACTACTGCGACGGTTCGCGCCAGCACTTCCCTGCGCCAGAGGCGTTTTTATGCTCGGAAGCATTTCCCTTCCGGCGGTTTTCTGCCTTTCTTTTTTTCGCCTGCCGTCATCTTGAGCCCTTGTCGCAGAGTCGTAGCGGGCGAGTACTATTCTTCTTATTATTTCAAGCCCTGTCTTTCCCCCCTTCTTGTCGACGGTCGCTTTTTTTCTATCCTGTGTTGTGGCCTTGTGAGGGGACACACCTCGTTGCATCATATCACTAATCAAAATCCATCACGGTCATGTTTGCGTGTTGGTTGCCTGTTTTTCACTGACCTGATTATCGAATAATTTCATTGTTTGGATCCTCCTTATTTTCCTCCTCGCTGAATTGCGCTCCCTCTGTGGCATCATGAAGTCTTGGGCAAGCAAATTCACCAAGGCGCAAACGGCCCCGTCCAACGCGCCTGAGTCTACCACCACCACTGTGGTGCCCAGTGAGAACGAGTCTTTCGCAGCGTTGCAGTCTGAAAAGGCCAAAATGAATGCGAATGCAGACCCCCCGCCCACTGAGGCAACTGAGGAAAACGCGCCGGAAAAATTTGACACGCAGGTAGCCAATACAGAGGAGAAGGATGATGAGGAGGAGCAGCCAGAATACGCGTCTGGAATTACGCTCCTCATCATTGTCGTGGGCCTGTGTCTAGCTATTCTTCTGGTTGCGCTTGTAGGTGCCTCCTCACTCGTCACCAAGTCTACCCACGAAAACTAACTGTTACCTCAGGATAATACAATCATCGCGACTGCTATTCCCCGAATCACGGACTATTTCCACGCTCTCGAAGATGTAGGCTGGTATGGAAGCTCGTACCTCCTCACGACCTGCGCTTTTCAGTTGGTTTTTGGCAAAATATACACTTTCTTCCCTGTAAAATGGGTATTTCTAGTCGCTATTGCCGTCTTTGAAATCGGCTCAGTTGTCTGCGGAGCAGCGCCCAATTCTACCGCTTTGATCATCGGCCGTGCTGTTGCTGGAATGGGCGCATCTGGGATTTTCTCCGGTGCTTTGGTGATCATTGCATACACGGTTCCACTAGAACAGCGGCCAATCTGTAAGTCTGCTCCATTTTCCTGTTGGCATTTACCTCAGCTTATGCTTCTCTGTTTTTAACAAATAGACAACGGTGCTTTTGGTTCTATGTATGGTATTGCCTCTGTTATTGGACCCCTGATGGGAGGTGCTTTCACAGACCACGTTTCCTGGAGATGGTGCTTCTACATCAACCTTCCTATCGGCGCTGTCACGATTCTTGCCATCCTGATCTTCCTCAAGAACCCTAAGCAGAAATTGAATACGACTCTGACCTGGAAAGAACGCCTACTGCAGCTTGATCCCCTTGGTGCAGCAGCATTTATGCCCGGTGTCATCTGCCTCCTCCTTGCGCTCCAGTGGGGTGGAACTAGATACCCATGGGGTAACTGGCGCATCATCATCTTGTTCATTTTCTTTGTTCTCCTCATGAGTGTATTCGTCGGCATCCAAATTTTCAAAGGAGAAAACGCAACCGTCCCTCCGCGTATTATCAAGCAGCGCTCTATCGCTGCAGGCGCCTTCCTTGCCTTCTCTATCGGCTCCTCGTTTTTCATCATCGTTTTCTATATTCCTATTTGGTTTCAAGCAATCAAGGGTGCTTCAGCTACAAAATCAGGGATCATGGCCATTCCCCTTGTTTTGGCACTGGTAGTTTTCTCCTTGCTTTGCGGAATCGGTATCACCTCCCTTGGATACTATGTTCCGTTTGCCTACTTGTCGGTGATCATGTCTTCCATTGGTGCCGGATTACTTACCACTTTTACCACCAACACGGGTTCTGCGAAATGGATTGGCTACCAGGTCCTCTACGGAGCGGGCTTGGGGCTGGGATTCCAACTTGCCCTCATCGCAGCCCAGGTTGTCTTGAAATTGGAAGATGTGGCGGTGGGAACTGTTGTGGTTATGTTTGCACAGACGTTTGGTGGTGCACTGTTTGTTTCCGTTGGCCAGAACGTTTTTACCAACCGTCTTGTCAGCGGTATTATGAAGGCTGCACCAACCCTCGACCCTTCTACTGTGTTCCGCGGCGGTGCTACACAATTGAAGAATCTGGTGCCCCCCGAACTACTGGATAATGTTCAGGAGGCATACAATACCGCGCTCACAAACACATTCTACGTCTCTGTTGCTATGTCTGTGCTGGGCGTCATTGGTGCCGTCTGTCTGGAGTGGAAGAGCGTTAAAGGGAAGAACATACAGGCTGGAGCTGCCTAGACGGTCTTTGACGCCTTCCCCTTGTTTCTGATTACTTTAATATTCATTCGAACGTAGTGACTGGATTTTTGCCGGATCTAGTGTGTCTCGGCACTTTTGCTTTCTTGGAAATGGGCGGGAAAATTGGACGTTGTTGGCGTCAGGCAATCTTCACTTACATGTAACTACCTATGTACATATATTGATAGACGAACACTCTTCTCTCCAAAATGGGGATTAAAAATAGATAATAATACTCCTACTTCATCATGGATATATTTTCATTCTGTAGCTTAAATTCATCATGTATAGTCAACTCTGATCCATTTTCCATACATTTCATGAATAAAATTGTTTCCACGACTTCGGTGCTGAAGACTAGGTCATAATCGCGCCACGCGCCCCCTTAAGTGGTACCGTGGATAAAGTACGGAGTACTCGTACGGAGTAGTTAACTTACAGCCAGCCCCTGAACACTCACCGCCACTTAACTACACCCCACAGGTCGGATTGCCAGCTTGCCCCTCCATGACAGTTCCTATTCAACAACAAAACCTCCTGCTCTCCTCAATAATACTCTACGTTCTTTTCGACCGTCTCTACCTTATCAGCTCGGACTTCCTATATTTCCATCACCTTGCCTTGCATACTTGCGACCACCATGGCTGAAGCTGCAAGTGTGTACCCCGCTTTAGAACAGCGGCCGCTGAAGAATACAATTTGCCTGTTTGACGTCGATGGCACTTTGACGCCTGCAAGACGCGTAAGCTTCATACTTTGGCTCCTATAGTTGGGCGATTGGACTGACCGCGCAGTAGACCGTCTCACCTGAGATGCTGGAGTTGCTCTCTCGTCTGCGACACAAGTGTGCAATTGGATTCGTATGTTGATACTCGAGATTTTCGCCCGCCTATTGAACAGACTCATAACTAGCTACGTATCACCAGGTTGGTGGCTCCGACCTCGTCAAGCAGCAAGAACAACTCGGCACTCTATCCACCCCCGTCACCTCCCTCTTCGATTTCTGCTTTGCCGAAAATGGTCTCACCGCATATCGACTTGGGAAGCCCCTGACGAGTAACAGCTTCATCCAATGGCTTGGAGAGGATAAGTACCAGAATCTAGTGGACTTTTGTCTTAAGCATATCGCGGGTATCAAGTTGCCCAAAAAGAGAGGTACTTTCGTCGAGTTCCGGAACGGCATGGTCAACGTTAGCCCTATTGGAAGGAATGCCAGTACAGAGGAGAGAGATGATTTTGAGAAGTATGTTACAGCGATAACTACATCGGCTTCGGACCTGAATTGCTTATTCCTCTTTTACTAGGTACGATAAGGCACATAACATCAGAAAAACCATGGTCGAGGCACTGAAGAAGGAATTCCCTGACTACGGGTTGACGTGAGTTCTTTCATCGCAGATATAGTTTTCCTGGCAGCGCATTCGGATGTCACTTGTACACTTGAACATCACTAATTTCCTTAGTTACTCTATCGGTGGTCAAATCTCTTTCGACGTCTTTCCCACTGGATGGGACAAAACGTACTGCCTCCAGCATGTCGAAGCGGAAAAGAAAATCTCCGGTACTGAATACACCACTATCCACTTCTTCGGCGACAAAGCTTTTGAAGGCGGAAACGACTGGGAAATCTACAGCGATAAACGCACCACCGGCCACGCTGTCAAGGGCCCTGATGATACAATGAAGCTGTTGCGTGAAATTTTTGATTTGAATTAGCACTAGTGATTATTTTATAGGCCATATGAGGCATTCACCTCTAAATGAACTGGTAGCTGTGTTGCAGTTATGTTGCATGCTCTAATGCAGCCGATAAAATATATATTCATCCTGTGTCAGTATAGCTATACATATACTACGTACACACGTACATGATTTCAAGAAAATTTATAGTTTCTCTCGTCCAACAACTAATGTGTTTAGTTATATTTTTATAGCCTTGCCGATCGACATTTGTTTATATCCCAAGTTCTTGACGCCTGCCCTTGGGAGTTTTGGGACCTATTTACATAGACTCCCAGATATTCTCTTCATTCAGAACCAGCTACTGTATGTCGACATATCTTGAGTGCTTGTGCTTCTACAAGACCTTCAAACTTAGACTCCGAATCTATTAGAAATTTACATCTGAGATAGCCAACGGTGTATATATGCACATGTGTTCGTAAATATGTACAATAATATGGCCGGGGGCATTTCATTTCTGGACCTCTACCATATATTAAGTCTAACTCCTCCTACATTCTCACCAGGGGATATCACTGTTGGTCGCAAGATACCGCTTGTCTTTAACCTTTTCGAGTTCGTTCTTGATAGTCTGAAGCGGCGCGCGGGCAGAATCGTGGTTGTAATAGTGAGTCACAACAAATCCATAGATAATGCCATCGACATTACCCTCAGTCACCATTCTCTGTGCAGCAGTGAATGATTGCTTTGAAGCCGTCCAGCCGAAAACTTTGCCGAAATTCCCTGAGGATTGACCCTTGGCAAGTTCCGAGACAATATTATTAAGGTTGAGAAATGGATTGTAATATCCTTTGGAATAAACACGCTTCTTAATATCGGAAGGCCCGAAGCTGTTGAAGGCACTTAGGGCAGGGTCAACATTCCCATCAATACCAACAGACTCATTTTCATTTAGGCCGGAGGCAATTAGTTTGTAGGCAGCTGAATTGTTCACAGAGCCAGAAAATCCATATAGGACTTTGACTCCGGCTGGCTGAAGTATAGTCCGAGCGAGTTGTCTTAAAGAGGCTATGTTGACTGCACCGCTAACATAGTTTGGGTTCTTCAAGTCAAGCCAGACAAAGCTCATTGTTTTTCCACCATTTCGTTGTGATGCAATATGACTGAACATTTTCTCTATTGTATCGCCTGCACTTGTTGGTAGCCCATCGTGATCCGCGTACCATCCCTTAGACCATCCGTAAACATCAATTTCGATAGCATTTGCACCATCTGCGATAGCAGCATCAACACCTCCGACAGTCAATACCCTATGTGCAATAAGCCAGAATGGGCTTGGTCCATTTCGAATAGCGAGGGTGGATGAGCTGGCGGTGGCATTAGAGATAACATCCGCAGATAGGGGCTGAGCGATAGGGGAAGCCTGCACAAGGAGCGTTCCAGCAATCAAAATTTCGGAAAAAAGGCGGAGAAACGAAACCATATTAAATTGCAAGGTATATATAGAGGTTGATCTGAAAAGCAGAAGAAGGGATTGTATTGATGCTTTGGATGTTGTATTTCCTCCTATTGGCCGTGGACAAAGACCTCTTTATATAGAAGCGAAGGTTAGTTAGCAATTAGGAGCACTCATTGCAGAAGACGGACAGGCGAAATATTGGCGATATGTGGATCGCAAAGCCTGGTCGTGATTCCTAATTCTATTTTCCGTCCTCACAGCCTTCAGATGTCAGCTGGCCCATATGGCCCGCTACGTAACATTGGCTCCGATGCCGTCTTCTTTTATTATTATTGCTAATTGACTTCTGAGAGCCCACCGAGGCAACAGACTAAGTTGGGATTCCAGAATATTTTCTCATAGAAAAGATCGGCGTCCTATGGGAAATCGTGGGGCACAGGGTCGTCGGTACTGAGATATTCGCTTGTATCCCAGCCGTGTGACCCTCAGGGAGGGTGGCGCCTCTCGGCATTGGTAGCCAGTTCATACATAACTAGTCTTGCTTTTGCAGCCGTTGAAAAATCCAGGTTGGGGATAGAAGCTTGACAAGTTCTGATAGAAGAATGGCAGCGCGTAGTTCAACATGTATGCAATGAAATCTTTTCGTTGTCCGGAAGAGATCTGGTATGATAGAGCACAGCAAGGCTGATGCCAGAGGTGTGGCGGCCCCATGGTTTCAGGGCTTGAGGCAACTCCAATTATCCGTTCGGCAATAGTCTTGCGGTAGACCCATCCTGGATCGAATGAGCTGAAATTGCCGCTAGGGCCGGGTTTCCACAAGACGGCAATATGCGTGCCGATATACTAATTCTTGGAAGATCCACATTCAGCCCATTAATATTATTATTATTGTTACTGTGGTGATTGTCAAGTGAGCATGCCATGATACTAGTAGCCCCGAGAGAATTGTGTTGTTCCTGGATTCTGGTGGCGGCTGGGCTCTTGCGGAAGTGGCTGTTCTTCAGTCTCTTGTGATCGGACATTGCTGTCGGTCGTGACATAGTTAGTTAACTAACTAGGTCGTAAAGAGCCTGGTAAACTAGTTAAACGAACACCCAAAATAATGGTATGGGATGGTTCAATCCGGTTTGCGTCCATCCGGCTGCCGGTTCGGCGGTGGGTACGGAGGACTCGTACCTAGTCCCTTCTTACATAACCAACTAGGTAGTAGTAGTTAGGTAACTAATTGCCGTTCAGCCTACCTACACTCGGGCCAGAGGGTCTCTCCTGCTCCATAGTTGGTTAACTAACTAGACGGCGAGTTAGTTAAGCCTAAGGTGGTTGGTGCATCGCTTACCTACTCCGTAGTTACATAACTAGCGAACTATTAGTCAGTTATGTACATAGTTAACCGGATCCACCAGTTTATTTTACGGAGAGCTCACTGCGACCATCATTGATGCCCCAGCCCTTACGCTGCAATTGCTTCATACCTCATCCTACCGAGAACAATTTAATGACTGTAATTATCTAGTTATATCCTTAGCCCTCATCTCTTTCCGTGTTTTACCTGACCTCATCTTTGTCAAAATTGGCTCTGTGTCCACCCGCCCCATCGACCGCTCGAATCAAAGGACTGCGGATCCTGAGACATGGCGGCCAGTCTCGACCATGTTCCATCTGTCATCTGTGGTTAGGTGCAGTTACCCCTTTTCCGGGGGATTTTTTCCATCAACAAACCTGTACCACACAAAACAGTGTGTGTATTTCCACGATGAGGATTTGGAGCCGACTCAACGACATTGATTAATTTTAAGGCTGTGTTCGGATGCCACAGACCCAAAGCGCGTTGTTCTGGAGAGATGCTATCTACGGTAAAGTGGGGCTATAAAGTATCCTGCAGAGTCGGACCTTGCTTCACCAGTCCTATTGCCAGAACGTTGGGCCGAACTCGGCTCCGTTGTCGTAGTACCCCGTCCTGTCCACTTAACTATTTAGTTGCCTTGGTTAGCTTGCTGACCAGTGGATATCAGACTGAACTAGATGATTTAATAATATCTCCGCGGGGTGACCCAACACCTAGCAGGAGGCTTTGCCGCGCGTCAAACCAGAATTTGGTCTTTGAAGTTGACCAATTAACTCTTTTGATGGTCACCACTCTATTCCTTGGAACGATACCCTTGTTCAGACCCCAAGTTTATAACGGTTGGTAGGATCGGGGCCTTAAAGGGTGGCCTCACATGACCTTCTCTTTGAGATGCCGTGAATGGCTACAAAGGATTACCTGCTGTCGCTGCAGACTACTACATCTGCTCATTGGATATTTCATAGCAAGCCTTGAATTGTCCACCCCCAGACAGACGAATGAAACTGCTGATACAATATTTTCCTAAGAGAGAACGAGCAAGGAGTTCTTTTGATGTCAGCAAGCGGCACTCACTTATAAAAAAGAAGCAATAAATATTGCCCAGCAGCGGCCCAATCTATTCCAGAGATTTAAAACTTGCTATTTGTATGAGCTAAAGATAATGAAATATTTTCGTTCACAATAACCAATAGGTGGGCTGCAACATTACAAATTTCTTCTGTTACGGGCTTAAATATAGCCGAGGCTTCCGGCTACCTATATGGGAAATCGTTCCAATTCATATTCCTTGAGTACTCTGGCAATCCTCTTTTCACACCGAGCCTTTTTTTTTTTTTGGTTGGGGGGGGGGGGGGGGGGGGGGGTTTTTTTTTTTGGGGGGGGGGGGGGGGGCTGCTGAATAATCATGATAATGGGCAGAGGCCAGCTGTTCTTGTGGTCGTTTGAAGGGACAGGGAATCGACGGGAAGCATGGAGTCTGGAGTTGGTGGGTGGGTGGCC